TACAATTGTTTTTTGAAATAATTCTTCTAAAGTTCGATCATCTGGTCGCATTTGATTCATTTTTTCAAGACTTCCAATACTCTAAATAGAAATTATGTCTTAAATATGTATATATTTGTGTTTTTTTTTTACTTTTCCAAGTGTGTCTGATGAATTAAGACTTAATGCTGATCGTATTGAAACTGTTCCGGGTTGCCATTCGGACGATAATATCGTCCCGTTTGTGCTAGTAGTTGTCTCCGTTGTGTTTGTTGTTATTTTTACATATATTATAAGACTTAAATGAATCTGAAACAGAATAAATAGACATCTTTTTTTGCATTTCGTAAAAACAAAAACACCTTTTCAAGAATCTTTATTTTATAATCGAAAGAAAAAAAAAAGCAACAGAAGCATTTGAAATGAAACAAAAACTGCATATTTGAAGACAAGAAATGAGACATAATACCTCGTAATCCAATTGAGATTGGTAATAAAGAAAACATGAATATTTTGACAAGTGAGGGCGCGACTGAATAAATAGTTCAGGTTTCGACTACCATTTAAATACATCTCGACCATCAAAGACAATATATCCTCCTATGACATTGATGTTAAATAGAAAAATAAAATGTTACGGATATATATCAAATATAGACTTAAGAACCGTCTTGGTGAAGCCTTTTTCAATGACAAGCATTATCGGTCTAGTTACTCATATTACAAAATCTATTCTAAACGAAGAAATATCTATAGTTTACATCTCTAACTACTGAAGTAATAGAATCACAGGTTATAACTTGTCGACATGATTTTTTTCTTTCCTAAGAATTTTGTTATTCGAACATAATATATCCTTCATCTACAGAACAAAGTTTAAGTGATTATACTAGCAATAAACATTGAGGAGAACTGACTCACCAATTCATACATTATTAATTTTTATTGAATATGATATCAATATAAATCAGAGAGAAAAGTACCATTTCATATTGAAGTACCACAATATGTTTAAAAATATTGATAGATTTATCATGAATCATTGGTTATGATTTCCTTTTTTTCATTCATTCATTCATTCATGCATTCATTCATTCATTCACTCATTCATTTATTCATTCATACAAATCATAAATGTACACACCTTTGAGCGAAGGCCGCACCACCTTCATCCATCCATCTTTTTTCATTGACGATCGAAATATGATGATCTTTCTCTCTCTCTCACTCTCTGTCTTTCTTCTTTCTATCCCTCTATTTTTCTTCATCGTCAATCAGTGTTTCGTTCGGTTGTTTAATTTTTATGACGCATTTTTCTTTTTTTTTCTGCTCTCTCTTTCTTACTAAGATCAGCTTGAAAAAAAAAGAAAGGTAAAAAAAACTCAGAACTAGAAGCATACTAAACATTGGAAGAAAAAAAAAACGACGAGGGAAGTATTAGTATATATTAATACATCCTTTAAGAATAAAAAGAACACAATCTCTTCATAATAATACAATCACTTTCCAATTTTTCTTTACCTGTATAGGCCAAAGTAGAAAGGTGATGATGGCATTAGACACGATTACTTGATATGTATACGACTTAGCCAATTTGCTCGAATATTTCTATATATGTCTTTGGTTGTATCTAAGAATAGTAGGATTTTTTTTTGATCAATTGTTGAAAGATGATGATAAATTACTTTTGGACTTCGATATAATCTATAGTTATCAAAATATTTTCATATGTTGCAATTCGAGTAAGATAACATCAACAATAATGTTTTATTGGCAATGAGTGAATTAAAAATAATAGATAACATAATCTTTACAATGACAGTATTCATTCAAACCATGGTCACAATCAACACAATTTGATACGTATCGTCTAGCTAGAAGAATTATCAGACGTTTAAATCTCATAAGTATCACGAACGAATAAAAAAAGGCTGAATACTATAAAAAAGAAAAGACCTTGATTATTCAGACTGTTGAAAAGACATTGTACTCAAACAGTAACAAATCACCATCTTGATAGAAAAATCTTACTACCCTAACACATGATGTGAAGAAACACAAAAGAATGAATATACTGAATGAGGGAGAGAGAACAATGAGAACGTAAGGAACTGATCAGTAGAAGATTTGTTGACACAACTGCTGCCTTCAATAGAATTGAGCCGATTTAGTCGGCTTATATTTATATATAAATATATGTGCGAACGGTATAACTGATCTAATATGATATATGAATGTCATTATGACAAGCGTTACCATCATTCTATATTCACAATACAAAAGACTCCGATTAATATGAAAGAAAAAAAAATGAGATGGAAGAAAGAAATAGATAAAAACAAAAAAGAAGTGAACGACTCAGTGAGTGAATGAGTGAGTGAAAGAGAGAAGTATAACAAAGGTCATAAAATACAATACAGAAGGAGGCAATCATCGTAGAACAAAGCAGAACCGGATGTGTAATACTCACGTTCATTTGTACATTGACTATGAGAAAACGACATAGCTGCAGTAGGGTGTCACGATTGATAATAAATATACATATAGAATAAGTTCGCTTTATGAAAAGAAAAGTTTTTCTTTTCAAGAGTAAAAAAAAAAACTTAAGAATATGTTTACATTGTAAATGTAAGCATGAAATAAGAAGGAAAAAATCTATATACATATAATCGTTTAAGTGTTGTTTGCACTTACTTGATGAAACTACACAAATATCTTTGAAATCTTATAAAATTGTTTAGCATAGACATTTAATCGATCACAAAAACAAATAAGAGAAAAAAAGAAGACAACGAAGAAGAGGAAGAAGGAAGATAAAGGAAGACAAGATTATGATGATGAACGATGATCATGTGACCTAATCATCTATTGGATTGAACAAATAGCAATAATACTAAAGATAAAGAATGTGGCGCTTTAGATAAAAAAAAATTGTGTTATAAAGACATCTGTTGATATTAATCAATTATCCTTGAGCAAGTTTAGTGTTCATACATCATTTCTAAACACTATATTCAAATATATTCATTCATATCAATAGTATTCTAGAATGGATCAAACGAAAGTCATTGAATATTGATGACAAACCCTTCAAAAATTGATATTAATCAATAGATTTATTAAAAGCTGACTAATTCTATTGAAATGTTGTATCTTAGTCAATGATTGATTAATATGTATATATATATATACTTTATCTATTCTAACGACGGAATAACAATTTTAATATGTTAAAGTTTTGTGAATTAAATAATAATATGACAAGTGAGTGTTTCAAATATTTATCATGATACGAATAAGTAATGTATTTCATTAAAACGTGAAAAGTTCTCGAATGCAGTTTGAACTTTCGTTGATGAAATAAATTGAATAATAAAATCTCTACAGATAATAATATCAAATGTGCATTATACTTGATATTGTCTGCTACGATACATCTACCAATCGTTTTGCTTATTCTCGTGCATCAAAATATTTGCTTATTGTTCTTATTAATTTTCAACAGCATAAATACTTATAAATAAAGCTATCATAGATTTAATTAGTGTTAATGTATTATTCCAAGGATCAACAAAAACTTAAAGCAATATTTCTGCAATGAGAAAAAAGATAATTATTCAAATATGCACTACTCTTAAGTTTATGTTTAATTGTAAACAATTGAACAGATTACACACTATAATAGATCTATGCAAGTGTTATCTATCTACAAACATATAATTTAGGAAAATAAATTAAAATATTTAAAGGCATCATAGAACATTAAAATATCAACATACATAAAAGTTACTAATTGAAAAATACATTATCTTAATCATTGATATTAATTGATCAAAACAATTTAAAAACTTAATCAAACTTCGAAAATCGAGTAAAATATTTTCTATATTTTAGAATAACTGATGAAGAAATTTTCAACCAGGCAGATGTTTATTTGGTGAGTGCTAGTGAGCAATAGAAAAGTCTTGAATTGTTTCGTTGTTCATACCTTTGTTCTTGAGATATCGAAATTTTACTGAGTTTTTTGTTCTCTCAGGTCACATGGATAAATCAGCTTTTGAGTTTCCACTTCAATCTTTACACGAACAAAAGTTCTTAATGATATTAGTTCGTTATGTAACTAATATTTCCTTTCTGGAAATGTAAGTATATGAGCAAAATTTGATTTACACATGTGAGAATTCCGAATATTGAACATCTCAAGATAGGATATACTAGAAAAGTTACAACTTGACCAATGAACTAATATTATTGAAAACTTTGTTTATACAAAATTTGAAGTTGAAAGTCGAAATTCAAAGTTCCACGTGACTTGTGGGAATAAAAAACTCGTTAAAATGTCGATACCTCAAGAACGAAGACCTGGAAAACGAAACCATTCAAGACTTTTCTATTAATTACTGGTACTCAATGAACAAGCATAATTTCCGTCGAAAAGCTATTTGACATCTGGAGAGTTTCCCTTATTAGTTATGACATATTGTCGAAAGAGTTGTTAATAGCGTACTTATAACGTGTATGACTTTCTTTTTTTCAAAATAGTGCTTACTGATACACTCGGGCACATTACAACAGCTCAAGTACCTATAAGATAATGTTACGTGTTTCATTGTATGTATTTCGAAAAGGTTTTCGACATATGAAGTGTTTTTCTTTTTACTAACATTCTTCGAGTTAATATGAAATAGTGACAAAGTGGTACGATTCAATCATGAAAAAACACTGTACCTGTAGAAATTATGAAATTTGCTATTTCTATTGTATTTCCCAGAGGAAAATTCTGACTTATTAAATTTAAAACAATAGATGTCGTTGATTTATCTTAAGAATAAAATACAAGGAGGATGCGTAGAAATATAAGATGAAATCGATTAACCAATTGACATGATTCCATGATTCATCGAAAGCTATATTGTTTATTTCACTTTTCACAAACATCGAAACCAACTTCTTTTTTTATTCGTAATCATTTATTTTGTCTTATTTAAGATTGTCGATATATCACTTAAGATTTTTTGAGCATGTCGAAAGTACAAAAACAACGTGTACAAACATTTGGTAGAAAGAAAACGGCTACAGCTGTGGCTGTATGTCAACAAGGTAGAGAAGACCAGAAAAGGTTGTTTTATTCAATTAAAATTTAAAATAATTTTTAATTAAAGGTCATGGTTCAATCCGTGTTAATGGTCGACCTTTACATCTTGTCGAACCACAAGTACTTCGTTTTAAACTTGAAGAACCAATTTATCTTCTTGGTCGAGACAAATTTGCACATGTTGATATACGTATACGTGTTAAAGGTGGTGGTCGTATTGCACAAATTTATGCTGTTCGGCAAGCATTAGCAAAAGGACTTGTTGCCTATAACCAAAAGTATGTTGATGAAGCAACAAAAAAACAAATACGTGATATACTCGTACAATATGATCGAACATTACTTGTTGCTGATCCACGACGATGTGAACCGAAAAAATTTGGTGGTCCTGGTGCACGTGCCAAATATCAAAAATCATACCGTTAAATATATCGATGGACTTGTTTTGTTGTTCGCTTTTTGTTATTTTTTCTCAAATGAGCGTACATGAAAAAGAAAACATAATAAGAATATGATGATGAACGACGAAATAATAAAACAGCTCGATCGATCAGTCATATAGAAGTTACTTTAAATTTATAAAAAGAAAACAAGATTTCTTAATCATTTAATTCAATAACTTTGGAATGTTTTTAGAGTTTTAGAAGCAATAATTTTAACTTTTTCTTTCTGAACAATTTTATGAATTGGAAAAAAGAAACATCCGAGTCGGAGAAAATTTTAACATATGTATTTATATTTATTTAGCAGAAATAATTGAACGAGATATTTTCACTCTCCATGAAGATTTGTATTCCCAAGTGATATAATTTTAATAATGAGAAATTTATCACAACACTGAGTTTCATTGAATCATCGTTCAGAAAGTTACTACATAATTATATTCATAATTAGAATAATCTTTTGTCACTATTAAAACTTTACAAAATGTGTTCTGTTTACATACATCTCAATCCGCTTTGTTTTTCTTTCGATGTTTCGATGACTTTCTGATGAACGTTAGATAACTATTTGTAAACATCGAGATATAAATTTGATGTGTTGTATGAACATTCTTGTAAGAGACGTATAATTGGTTTTTTGTTGCTTTTCTTTATGATGAGCACAACAATTGTCGTTGAGTGAAAACGACTTTAATGAATAGAATCAAAAAGTCTCTTGTACATCATTCTTTCGCCAACATAGTACTCGATATGCTGATACGTACAAATACAAAAAACATGTTGCAATTATTAATGTTCAATAGATCTTTCATGTTCAGAATTTGTAAACAGCTTTTGACGATTGTATTAAATTCCATTCGAACGATTTAGTAATTATTGGAAGTTGAAATTATGATATATATATATACTTTATCAAAATCCTAGATCCGTCACTAGTTTAGAAGTAAGAGAATCGTCAGTTTTTGTGAGATCTTATTTCGTAATTAAAATAATTTTTGTACTTTGGCATATTTTTTCAAATTGACAGAAAATATTATTTTTTTAAATGTTTTTAGATGTGTTCAAATAAACGTAAATATTCTTCTTCGACAAAATCCAATCTTCATCTATTCTTTGGACCTAGTACTGTAAAAAAACATAAACAAAAACATAATCAATCACTATTTACATATCCATTTATTGATTCATATCCATCAACACCATTTATTCTTCAATCAAATACAAAAGAATGTAGAATTATAAATCATAAACTTGATTTAGATCTTATCTATATAACATCATTTATTCCATCACCATGTGATATGTCTCTGTATACATTTCTACTTGATATACTTCCATGGTATCGTGTAAAATATTCTAAACAAACCGATAGATTAGTTCAAATAATTACACCACGATATACAACTGTATTTGGTATTGATGATACACAACAATCAAAAGAAAAATATAATCGAACACCAAGAGAAATTCCACCAATACTCAATGAACTTAAACAACATGTTGAACAAATAACAAATATAACATATAATTTTGTTTTAGTTAATTTTTATGCTAATGGTCAAGATTCAATTGCATATCATAGTGATGATGAACATTGGCTAGGTGATCAACCATGTATTGCATCATTATCATTAGGTGCTGAACGAGATTTTTATATGAAACATAAATTAAATGAAAATCTCAAACAAAATTTTGTTCTTAATTCAGGTGATTTAATTGTTATGCATGGTAAAACACAACATGCATGGTTACATTCAGTACCTAAACGAACATCACAATTATCTGGAAGAATTAATATTACATTTCGTCGAGCTTATATACCTGATGGGACAAATAATTATTATAGGTAAGCATGACAGGAAATTGACGAACTTGTTTTTTTTTGTATTACGATTGAATACGATTTAGATATAATGTTGGTGATGGTCCGATGTATCGATATATTAATGGAAAAATGATCACATATGATAGGGATTAATCTCTCCTTTTCTTTTATAGTTTTATATTATTTGTATATGTACAGATCAAGTTTGATATTTTTTGTCTGATGAAACTAAAAGTTTACTACAAAATATTAGCTTGATATTTGTCAGAGAACGATAGATATGCAGAAGTAAAATTTGATATCCGAACAAGTCTGGTAATTTCAACAGCGTTGGAATTTCGATATTTAACTACGATTTTTGAAATATTTGGTAAAGATGAACTGCAAATCTACGAAGTTGAATGATTCTTTATTAGTGATTACTACATCACAAATCATTAGAACTAAAAGATATTATATAGTAGTTTTTTGTTTACTTTGTGTGATTGTCTGGTTGAAATTATCTCATGTCAAGACAATCAGAATGTTCTTTAGCTTATGAAACTTTCCATTTAGCTATGTAAGGGCAATATATATACGTATGTGTTTTAGTTGTTCTGAATTTCATTTCAAGAGAATTTGTTTGAAATAATAAATGAATCTATAAATTTGACTACAACAAAAATTGAGTAAAATAACAGATCGTAAATTTCTGACAAGACTCGTATGGACTGAATCTTGACTGATGAGAGAATCTTTGCCTGGATGATGCTTTTAACTTATTTGTAAGCTTTACTATATGCCAACAAGAAGATTTCTTTTCTAGTTTTACAAAACAAAGTAAAAATAACTATAAAAAAAGATGCATTAAATTTTATTTAATAGAAAGAAATAGAGTATATTTATGATGATAAAAGAAAATTTATAGTTGTGCAATAGATTTGACATGTTTAATCGAGAACAAACAAAAAATAAAAATAATCTATTTATATTATAAATACATATCAATGATTATATTTCGTTGTCTTTATATTCATCATCATAACAAATTACATTATACTACAGACTAGTTGAGTTTGATTGTAAACTTTGATTTATAGAAAAGAAAGATGCTTTCCTCTTTTCGCAACTTGAAGTTTCTTTTTAAATTGTTCACGATCACAAGATTGAGAAAGTTAGAAGGAATAACTTTGAAATTATCTTTCTTCGTTTTCCTTTTAATAATCTAATTGATTTTATAATCTTTCTTTGAATAATTATAAATATGATATTGAATAGTTTAATCTATAAAACAATATAAAAAAGAAAATAAAATGATTAATATTATAATTGTTGTTTAATTTGTTCTAAACATTGTTGAATTTTTATAATTAATGGATGTGTTTTTGGATAGTTATGACGAAAGATTTCTTCAGCACGTGAATAATTATTTTGAGCATCAATAAGAAATAAAAATTTCGAATCAAGTTTACCCAAATTGAAATAACTTATTCCAATATCAGGATGATTTGGATCAAATTGACCTAAATATTTTACACGTATACTAAGAGCTTCTTGAAGATTATTTCTCGCTGCTTCTGCATCACGTTGAGCTAAGTGAATACAACCAAGCAGATCTAGAGTTGATGCTTTTTCTAATCGGTATTGTTGTCGTTCATTTAAAGCATCTAATGCCCATCGAAGAGCAGTACCATAATCTCCTTGATCATAATAAAAACTTGCTATCTATAATAAACAGAAAAGAGACTAATAGAAATAAAAATAAAATCGAAATAAGATAGTGGAAAAGAATGTTTAACAATAACAAATTTTTTATTATTTTTTTTCTATCATGTTAAGCAACTAGCGCAAATCCAGGCAGTCATTTTAATAGTCAATGGAGTTTTCTATTTAATACATTTTATGCTGAGATTTCATAGATGAACAGCGATGGCAAAATTTCAAAAGAAAATCATAGGCGATAGTTTTCAAGTCTCAGAAGATATTTTTAACAATGTTATTTTAAAGAGCACAATATTTTGAACAAGATCAGGTGTCACTGTACTTTCTATGGCATTCACTTAAAAAGTTATATGCAGTACTAAACCGTAATAAGGCAATTTTTGGATAAATTTATTTTTTTTTAACCATTTTTGTAATATATTCAACTTTTTTTCAGAGAGGGTCATAGAAAATGCGGCGCCGTTTCATATTGTTCAGAATTTTGTGTCCTTTACAATGGCGTTGTTAGGAATATATCTTTTGCGGCTTGAAAACTACCGTCTCCAGTTTTCTTTTGAAACCTTGTCATTGTAGTTTCTGTATGAAGTCCCAGCATATAATGCATCAAACAGATAATTTCATTGGTTATTAAAATCACTGTCTGAATATTAACTACGTTCTTAACATGATAGAGTGGAAATAAAAAATTCGTTGCTGCTAAATTTTATTCCACAATCTTACATTACTTACATTATGATAACATGCACTTAATCCACGTTGATTTTTTGTTTCTTTATATATTTCACATGCCTTTTTATAATACTTAAATGCTCGATCTTTTTCGCCAATTTGATTGTAACATACACCAATATTATTTAAAAAAGTGGGTCGATAATGATTATTACGATCTGATAGATAACTAATTCTATTATCGAAATATTTAATTGCAAATTCAAATTCTCCCATATCAAAAAGAAGTTTACCAAAAAGAACTGATTGATCAGCTGAATCAATTTCTGTTGCAAATGTTTGTTCAATATATTTATTAATAGTTAATTGATCATGTTGACTTAATGAAAGATGAATTTTATATAATTCTTTTTCTTCATCAAAATCAACCGATTCAATACGAAATATGGATCCAATTGAAATAAGAATTTCTTCTTCTTCAGGAAATCTACTAACATTACGAATATCAGCAAATGGAATACTTTGTTCACTATTCAAATCAATATCAATTTCGAATATAACAGCTTCATCATTATTTTTTGAACGACCTAAACAAAATTTTATTGCAACATCTTCTTCTAATGTTGTTGATACGAAACTATTAAGTGAAATCAGATCATTTTTATGATTTGCAATTAAAAGAATTAGTGGTAATTTTAATCGTTGACCACGATAAAGATGAAGTTTCTTATTTGATATTGATTTTTTATATTCTTTATGTAGAGTTTTTAATTGTCGACAAAGTAATTTGATAATATAACGATACGAATATATCGTTGATATATTACCAGAAATTAATGCTTCATTCATACTTCGAAACATGATAGAATTATGTGAATACCACCAAATAGCATTTTTTGCATTATTTTCTAATGATTCTTTTTCGAATTCATCTATTGGTTTTAATATTCGTTTATCCTCATTATATTTTGTACGAAAATAAGAAATCATATCTTCTTTAGCTTGACTATCATCATCTTCAAGTTCAATCATAAAATTATGACATTTATAAAACCAAAGAAAACGCGCTTGATCTTCTTGTAAATTTCGAATTGGATATTCTTCATGTGATTTATCTTTTAATAATATTGTTTCTATTAGATAAATACAAAAAAAAAAAATATCGATTGTATTTTTTTTTGGATTATTTCGATTTCGATTACCTGTATCTGTACTATCTCGTTTATTGAATAAACTAAAACCAATTGAAGCCTTATCTCTATCCATACAATTTCGAATTCTATTAAATAAATCAGATATATCTAAACAGGTTGCTCGAATTTTCGGATATTTTAAAGTTTGACAATTTTTTGAATTTGTAGAAAGAATAAAAATTGCAATAATACATTTATAATCATGTATTTGTGGTACGACCTGTTGACTAAATGAATCCGAGATAATGAATATAATATAGGATTTCATATTTCTATCATTTTGTCTTTGTATATAATCAATACATTCTTCTTTGTTGGCAAAAAGTTTTATTTTGTCATCCAATTCATGCCATTGATTTAGCTTTTGTTTATTAGTATAATTTTCGATATTTTTATCTAACCAAACCAAATGATGAATATATGATTGAGTATCATTATTATTTTTAAATGATTTCTCTGATGCATGCGAACCTTTGTCAGCCATATTAGTATTAAATTCTACGAGAAAGATCTGAAATACTTTTACTTGTGCTCTCAAGAAAAAGCAACAAAATTTTTTTCTTTCTACACTCTTAAAGTAATATAGTTATTGTCTCTCCTAAGCTTGCATTAGCATGAATACATGAAAGACATTGACATAGACAATAGCGACATTAAATGTCGCTTATTTCATTTTTCTTTTCTTTCCATAGGCAAATAATCAAAGCACAAAAAGAAGTTATTTTTAGTCTTCTTTTTTATTTTTGCCAACAAATCCAATCAGGAGCTGGACATGATGCTGCACAATGTGCATACCATCTGCTACGTGCATAGCAACGAAGACCTGGTGCGCAACGTGTTAAACCAACATAACCTTCACCTAAATAAATAAAAATAGATAGTATTTCATAATTATGTACTTTACTAAAGTCATACCTCCACATTGTTCATTTTGTCCAACGACATCTGTTTCACAGGCCCATGTTGCTGGGCATGATGGACGACATTCGGAATACAAATAATTGTTTCGAAAACATGCTGTTCCAATTGGACAGACAGCGTATCCAACATTGTTACATTTTGCATAAGCAGGTAAAGTGACTGGGACGGGAACAGTACTAGTAGTAGGAATTGGTGTTGATGGTAATGTAGAAATTAACGCAGCACATGCCCAATCTATATATATTTAAAACAAAAGAAAGTTTTTAAACTTGTCAAGATAGACTATGTTCTTACCTAGTGGACAATCACCTACTGGACGACACTAGAATAATTAAATTTGAAATTAATTAAGAAGTTATAAATAATAATTACTCACTTGAGAATAATGAACACTTCGTGCATAGCAAGCATAACCAGCTGGACATGCTCGTGGACCACTCCAACCTTCACCTCCACATTGATCCCATCCAAGAGCATGTGGTGGTGCTAATGTAACAAATGTTTCACATTCCCAACCAAGATTCAATGGGCAATTATGTTGGCATGATGAAAACCATTTATTTCGACGAAAACATCTCAGACCAAAATCACAAGGTAATGTTGGATAGCCTTCACCAGCACATTGTTCATAAATACCTACTGAATAAGCAATACCAATGATGGCAACTAACACAGTTAACTTGATTAAGAATGACGATGTCATACTGATGCTATTCAATGTTTCGAATATTAACTACTATTCAATTATTTTGAAGAGTGCCTTATATACAGGAGTAATTGCGCCTATTGATCCTTGTTTTCGTCATTCTTATTTTACAGTAAAGTGCTAGTTTTGATCCTTTTGATGATAGGTAGCTTATTAAGCGCTCAAATTTCAACAGTATTAAGAAACTAAATACAAATTTAACTTTATATTTATTTTTCTTTGCTTTTATAAAAGACTATTGGATTTTAGAAAATAATTGGAATTGAAATCATAAATAAAACAATTATTTAGTTATTTCTTAATTACATCATTAGAATTTTCATGAAGAACTATAGATCAATAAATATAAATCATTAATTTTTCAGTACAAAAATGTCGTAATTTTTTTTACTTGAATTTTTTGCCGTAATAACAATTTTATATATATCAACAAATATAATCATTCATGGTATGTAAATCTATCGATTAAGATTAGATTTTTGTACTTGAATAATTAGAATAGTTCTTGTGATGCTGAAAAGAAAATAATCAAAACAAGATGTCTAATACCAAAAAGGAGTTTTGTTCTTTTTACATTTTATTATTCATGAAAATATCATATGAGTAAGATATTTTCTCTATTCTGATTCAACTGATTGATAAACAATCCTTTTTTTGGATACACTGCCGGAGGTATATAAATATGATGATAGTGATTATGTGACGACCTTTACTTCAGTGTTGGAAACTTGCATAACTAATCTATTCTATTAGTCATGCGTCATTATTTATACGTCTCGTTTAGCATATGCTTGTTTTTTTTCAAGTTTTTCTTTCTGTATTCCAATAAACGAACGGATGCTTCATTTCTTATATACAGTTAATAACTGTTCTCAACTAATTAATGATAGCAATCATTTAGGTTCTATGAATAAAGAAAAAACATTATCATCATCTGTATCACGTCGTTTTCATTCTCAGAAGGAATGATGCTCATTTATCACATATAGATTTCTTTTTTTTCTGAGGTTATATCCTTGACGAAAAACATCCCTCCTGATGTTTGCACTTGTGTAGGAGTATAGATATTCATTTATCTGTTTTGTGTTCTTTCATACTCTGCGATCAAATGGCATTGCATATTGTAAATGAAAATTTACTTATTTGAGATTACAGAACAAAATTGATTATATACGAACTATCAATCAATCAATACTAACTAATATAATGTTGATCATTTTTTAATTATATTAATTAGTTGCTTAAAGCTTATACTAAAATGATTCTTATGAATAATTCTCTTTTATCAACGACAACAATAATAACAACAACAACAACATCTGTTGATCTAGATCTAAATTCAACAGTAGTAGAAATTAATGACACATCGTCTTTCAGTATAATTCTTACTATTATTATTCTTTCATGTTTAAGTATATCTGGTTGGATTTTTATGTCTTATGCTTTATTCGGTCGATCTGAAGCTTTTCGTGCAAAACCTGAAGATCAATTTGGTTCATCAAATCTGACAAATAATTCAGCTAGACCAACTAGTAATGACTTTTTCTTCGATTTCGATTGAATGATACAAAAAAAAATGGCTTTAATCTATATATTGTTGACTACTTTATTAATAAATTTGTGTTTTTTTTCTTGTATAAAAAAAGATAAACGATGAAATAGAAAAAAAAACAAAAAAAAGAAATGTAATTTAACACTTCCATCCTTCAGGACATTCTGATCGACATTCATGATACCATCTTGAATGTGGATAACATTGAAGACCTTCTTTACATTTTGTTAAACCAACATAATTTTCTCCACCACATGGTGCCCATTCAGGTAATGTTTGTTTCGCACAAAACCATCCTTGTGGACAATGTGGTTTACATTCACCATGAACATTTTCTGTTTGAATAAAACAAGCTGTACCAATAGCACAAGCAAATGGACCACGAATATTTCCACCATGACATTTACCACCAGGTGGAATAACTTGTGGTGACGGTCGAGTTGCAACTGCAGCTGCTTCAGCTGATAAACATTGTGAATAATATTTAGAACGTTTCAAACAAATTAAATTTGCTTGACAAGTTTTTGGACCTTCCCAATCAAGACCGCCACATTGACCAAATTCGTCAACTAGACCATCTTTATTGTTATTGTTATTGTTATTATTATTGTTGTTGTTATTGATATTGTTCATATTATTATTATTGTTATTATTATTATTATTATTATTTGGAAGATTCATACCATATCCAACACCAAAATATTGTGGTTGTTGTGGAATTCGATTTCCATATCGATCATCAATAACATTTTGTTGAGCAATTATAAAATGGATACATATAGAAAAGATAATAATACTTGATTTTAACATATTGAATAATAATTGAGATTTGAAAAGGTAACAAATGAATGAATTTGAATTGATTCATTCATCATGTTTTTATATATGTCTTATTTATAAACAAACCTTGACTAGATTTTCAAAATGTCAATACAACATTTTAATAGCAAAATATGAATGAATTTGTAGGTTCAAGAAAAAATTCCTAAAGAGCATATCTATATATATATTGAGATTACATATATTCACAATGCATCAACCTTGACAAAAGATTATCGATAATGTAATGATCTGTTTGTTTGTGATTAGTACATTGACAAGGACTAATAAACATCAATATTATTATCTTGTCTTTCTTTTCTTTGTTCATGAAACATATTTGGCGCATACGTTAGATAAATCTTAATAAAATAATGTCAAGTGCTACATATATATTAAATGATAAAAATGAAACAATGTATGTATAATATGACAAGAAATCTTTTATTGTATGTATAAAAGAATTTTTAATTCTTTTAGTTCATGGACATATGATCGACTTCTTTCAAATGCATCGATTGAAAAAAAAGATTTAAGTCTACTTGGTTTTATTATTGGTATTCTATGTATTATTAGTATTCTATGTAGTCTTATTCCAAGAATTTTCATATATTTATATGGTAGAATACTATCGTCTAAGAAATCATTTGTACCATCTCCATCTATATCAAGTAGTACAACAACAACAACTAATCTAATGAGTGAATTTTAATTTAAAATATCTTTTGTTTTTTATTTGTATGATGCTTTAAAAATACGTCTTAAATTAATACAACAGAAAGAGTAAAATTTATAGGAACAATTTTGAGGGCATTTTTCGAAACTTAAGACGACTATTCAAATAGAAGTTCATCTTTTCTGGTGTTTCTAATTCGAATTTCGGATTTAAAATTAAATAAATTGATTCTATTAAAATATTATTATACAATTAAATTTATTTAAAACTGCGCCCTTCTTCATGGGCATGGAGTTCTATGATTATGTTAATTTCTACTTATAAAAAGTGTGATTAAATTAAATATCAAGGAAACGAGAGATATCGGTACACACAAGAAAAAGATATATTCCAGTTCAAAATTAAAAAAACATGCAACCTACAATCAGACTCGTATAATATTCGTTTCGAACTTTATTTTTTGTATATTACCTGAATAAAATCTACAAATATTTTCAATTGTTATTTCCTTAATTATACTTTCTTAAAATCATTTGATCTGAAAAAAATAATTGGATATCGATGTTGAGAGAAAGATAAATATGGCGCAATCGAAAGCATAATTCATATCTAAAGTAGTTACTAAGATACTAAAATTTATTATTTGTAATTGTCTTTAAAAAGATGAAATTTAATTTTGATTTAAAATTTATTTCCTAATGAATTTCATTAACTTTTAATGATCAGTAAGATAAAAAATTGTGCCTAATGTAATAACATCATTTATTGTAGTGGAAAGAATGTAAGTCATTGACATTGTGACAGCGTCATTGCTTAATTACAAAAAGGAATTATGATAGATGGCATCAAGTTTTTGTTGTCAACCTAATAACCCTGACGAGAAAGAATATTCTGTGTCAACTTAATCTTCATTTACTATGATCATTATTATGAAGATCAAGAACTCAGTGTTAATTCAATAAAAAGAGTTCAGACTTTTTTGAGAAACTTCTTCTACAATTCGACATTATTATCTACAAGCTTCAGAAGCAAATCTTGCACTAAAGAGTACAAAATTTTGGAGACAGCTTATTTTAGATTCTAATGTTTTTCTCCTACTTGTAAATCGATTGTTGCCAGACTTTAGGAAGAACATAATGGATTAACTGATAACTGAAAAAGACTATTTTTACCTGTTTACGGTTCTCCTATCCTAGCGCTGCAAAATCCTGGTAAGTATTTTCAGCGAAATATTTTCTCGCCGGTTTAAAGTAAAAACTTCGCTCTTTGTCACAAGAAAACTATGAAATTTCTACAACGAGTTTCTATCAAGTTATACTGAGAAAAACTGAATGCAGAACTTTTGCATCACTTGTTCTAAAACAAGTCACGCTGACTCAACATTATTATAATACAATGAATATAAGTTTATTTATAATGTAAAAATTTTGATTCATAAAATAAAATTTGACTGATCTATCATGATAATGTTGAGTATCGTTTGTTTATTTATAAAAGAAAATTACAATTTTCATCATCTATCGATATATAAAAAAACAAACTAACAATAAAATAACCCTCATATAACTATAAATCACTATTACAGAAAACATATTACTTAATGTTATTGGTAAATGTTCCAAAGATTTTTTCATATTTATTACATTCACCAAGAAAATTCCATGAAATTTTTTGTATTTGATTTGCATTTGTCTTCTTTTTAGATGTTTTCTTAGAAGTTATTGTAATAGAATTGTTTTCACGTAAATTTATTTCATTATCAATTACAATCCATATTTCATAAATCATTTGAAATCGTTCAAGATAAATTCGATCAATTAATTGTATTGCATCTAATTTTTCCATAAGTAAAACAATTGAATAAAGTATATGACGTAAGTTCGGTAATTCATTATTTGCTTCTATAAAATACAAGTTGAAAACTATAATAAAAATTTATAGAATATTTACTTTTAATTTTCTGTTGATCATCTTTAAGATAATGTCGAAGTATAGAATCATTTTCAAAATCACTATGATCATCATCAAGAATAAAACTTTTTTCTACACGTACAATTGACATTGGTAACATTATATCCAACATATGTAACCAACAATTTGCACATACATTAAATAATGCATGTAAACGTGGACGATATTTTTCTAATGGATTTTCTAATTGATGAATAACAAAAAAAAAGGAGAAGAATAGAAGAAGTTATCGATTTTTTTAATTAAATAAATATTTTTTACCAAAAAACGTACAGCATAAACGAATAAAATTGAGAAGAGCTTCAGCACGGTAGAAAAATGTTTTATTAATACCATTTTTTTCAACATTTAATTTTAATGCTTTAAGATTCCGTTCAATTTCAACTATTTCTCCAATTGTAGCTGCATTAAATGTTGTTCCATATTCAATATGTTGTTGCATAAGACGTATTGACTCATTGAGCCAATAATAACTAGATTTTGATAAAACAAAACGTGATCGATCACCAAGTGGATCGTTTATAATTAAATCTAAGAATAGATATATTAATTACGAATAATTAAATACACATTATCTTACAATCATTTTTTGATTTACATTCAAATATTTTAATTGTATTATTTACATATATTGCATGAATATTTTTCCAATGTGATGTGATATCAATAGAATTTTTCATTTTTTTCTTAGATATTATCTTGGATTCTTCAGAATGAAGACGTTTGCTTATTGATTGTGATAATGAAGGATTACTAAATACAATTTTACTCATTTATGATCTATTACTTAGTTGTGACAAAAAAATGTTAGTTATGGATACCTCAAACACGCGGTCATCTAGGTATTTTATGGATGTATGTACATTAGTCACTATTGGACTATTATTGGTATGTTAAATAAAAAATACTAATACAGTTTTTGATTGGTTTTGTTTTTGAATTTAATGTAAATCTGATAATCATAGCAAGTAGGAAATTGTGAAACTTTCTTATTTGGAATAAAAAAGACAGATAACATCATTAATGATATGCTTGTTTAAAAAAAACATCGTATATTGATTGATAATGTTCAAGTTAGTTTTTCTTGGTATTTTAGAAAGCGTTCAAGACTATATTGAAAAATCAGCATCAAAGAATGTTATGCTGTACATGTTTCAGATAATGTTAGAGAATCTAGAGAATGCATTATAATGAAGATTTATGAAGCAACTAAATATTGGTTTCATACAAAGAAAAGAAGAAAACACATGAATAGTCAGATGAATATAGTCGAAATTTCTCCTAGCAATTTGCTCATATTCATTTATTTGTTGTTCATATGCTTGAAAAAAATCACACAACAGTAAATAAAAACCATGACTGTTAAACACAATACTCTTGACAAGAAATACATGTGAGAAAAACGTGATTTTAGACAAGAATTCAAATTCAATCTAATTTTTCTTTGAATTCCTTAAGAAAACGTTATATTTAAATCAGATATATCATGTTTATACTTTTTGCAATATAAGATCTATCAAAATATAATTTAAGTTTTAAATAAATATGAATAATATGCATTTTACTTATATGAAGAATATGAACATCAATTGTGGCAAATTCAACTATTTGTTTTCATGTTTTTATTCTTTTGATAAACATTAAATATATTTTTTATATTTCGATCCTGACGATCATTATCAAAGCATACTCATGTAACTAAAGTCTATGTCATCCACATTTATCTCAATTAACGTACGTAGTAGCAGCTAAAATGGACATTGAAAATTGTTGAAGACAATAATCTCAGAATTAATGAAAAGATGACAGTGGCTTTAAATAAAATAATAAAATATTAAATTTATTAATAACTATTTCGACGTTTCGATGAACAAGTCATCATTATCAAGAATAATATGTACGATTCAGAGGTCCGCGAGTCGGTCAAAAAATCGTCCCATCATGCCGACGATTCGTTCGTTGCCACCTCGTCTTGCTTTGTCAACTTTCAACTCATCACCATCTCGTCTTTTCGTGTCTAGAACTTAATGTAAAATTACATGTTTCCTTTTGCATTTTTAGCTCTATCTAAAAATTAATATTTGCTTTATTTCATAAGAGCAAACAGAGGTATTCCGAGTGGCAAGATTTCTCAATCTTGAAAAATTTTCATTTTTTTAGCAAAATTCTGAAATATTTTTCCGCTGTTTTTCTGATCAATTTTTAAAAAATTGCACGATTGTTCCCAGATTTGATCAATTTTAGCAAAAATTTTCTTACCGATCTCGTACTTCATAGATATTCTCAATTTTTGTGACTTTGCCACACCCGTGAGATCAAATAAAGTATAAGGTTTATGGAAACTCTTTCAACAAACAAGAAAGATTGATATTTCCATCACGGTTCTATTGAATAAACTATTTTTTGTAATAATACCCAGGTCGAACATTACTGTGCCCGTAAACGGCCGTACACAGTCGTTTACGATGACGTGAACGGCCGTATCCGTCGAAATTACGACCGTATACGGGCCGTAAATAACCCGTTTGGTATGCGCCGTATTACGGTCGTGTGAGACCGTGTCGTATACGGCGAAAAACGACAATCGTTTACATCAAAATCTTTGCCGTAACACGGCCGTATTTTGACGAAGACGACAGTTTACAAGGACGTAAACGATCGTAAATCAATGTAACCGACCGTTTTCGGTCACACATATGGAAAGGATTTCACCAGGATTTCATTTGGATTTCATTCGGATTTCACATCGATTTCATATGGATTTCGTATGGATTTCATATGGATTTCATATGGATTTCATTCGGATTTCATATGGATTTCATATGGATTTCATTTGGATTTCATTCGGATTTCACATCGATTTCATATGGATTTCATATGGATTTCATATGGATTTCATTTGGATTGCATTCGGATTTCATATGGATTTCACATGGATTTCATTTGGATTTCATTCGGATTTCATATGGATTTCATATGGATTTCATATGGATTTCATTTGGATTTCATTCGGATTTCATATGGATTTCATATGGATTTCATATGGATTTCATTTGGATTTCATTCGGATTTCATATGGATTTCATATGGATTTCATTTGGATTTCATTCGGATTTCATATGGATCTCATATAGATTTCACATGGATTTCATTTGGATTTCATTCGGATTTCATATGGATTTCATATGGATTTCATACGGATTTCATTTGGATTTCATTCGGATTTCAAATGGATTTATTTTGGATTTCCCAAGGATTTCTTCAGTCTCTCAATTCGATACGATTTTGATATCACCCGGGTGCCATCAAAAGATTCTCATCACTGTACACGCATTTTAAATCGATTGCTTTTGCATTACGTCTTGGGTCTGATACCGGTGACAATTTTACTTCATTCCAATATAGCTAAACTCTGAGAAGACTGCTACAATGTACGTAAGTATCCTTTCATTGCACTCAACAGAGTAAATTAGTCCCGTAACTCCCGTCTTTACGGTGGCGCACCCTTCTTTTTGTCGTAATTTGGATTGCAACGAGAGAGGAATAAACTTACAAAAAACCATTCACCTTTGGACACTTGGAACGTACACGAGGGGCAAACTAAATCCTGGTATATATAGAGATGTTGCTGTGAAACAAATCCGTGAATGAATACTCGACCAGAAATCTTACAAGAAATCAGGATTTCAAAAGTGCGATTTTTCGAGAAGAAAGACGAAGAGTATGGTTGAGTGAGAAAGTAAATCCTGGTATATATAGAGATGTT